CTGAAAACCTCGTACTACTAACGTAGCTTTATATGTTTTATTATTTTTTTCTTATAAATTCATTGAACATCTAGAATTTCTTTATCTTCTCACCATTTTTTATTCATAACTTCTTATCATTTATTACTATCTTCAGAATTTATTACCTGCTTAAATGTTTTGGGTGAATTAGCATTTATATCAGTAACATAAATAATGTGTATAATTGGATTACCATATCTTTAAATTAGACTCTTTTTTATCCGACTTTCTAACTTGTAATTCATTATTTTTGTCTGTTTCTTTAGGATGTCGTTGTTGTTTTTTTTAATTTTTGATGATAGTTTCATTACTATTATTATTTTTAAATTCACTTTTATTTACATAGTTATTTTCATTATTATTTTCTTTGTTTGGACTTTGTTTCATTTTCGAAATTTTGCGAAATGCCTACGAAAAACAACTACATACGTCTATTTATGCCAATCACATTCTTAAATGTAATCATATTTACAATAACAATTTTAAGATTTTACACACGTGTAACAAAGGATTAAAATTAGATGCATTAGAAGCAGTAGAAATTAATAAATTGAAAGACTCTAATATCTTCTTGAATGATATGTTAAATTTGAATAATTCGCCTCTACGAAATTAAGCTTTGAAATGACCAATATTATTGACTACATACAAAATGTATGCATTTGTGTGTGTACGTATGAATGTATGAATGTAGGTATGTATATAGCCCCTGTTATCTGATTGTCGACCATGGCGCAGCGTGTATGTTCTTGATAGAACGCTGTATATTGTTAAGTCTTGATGTACATTTGTCTGACGAAGGTACTGTGATACCGAAACAACTGTAACACGTTTTTAACGAATAAAGTGAAGATCGACAGTATATAATAAGTCTACTTTTTCATTTAATTCGAAATTTTTATTTTAACAAATCATAATTATTTTTTCATCAACTGCTTTTACAAGTCTAGTAACTATAACTTGATTATTTAATAAAACTTTGTAACCATTTTTTGCATAACCAACTAAAATTCCTAACAGTGCTGCATCATTTACTTCGTTTTTTTGTTCTGGGTTTCTTACCAAAACTCTGCCACAGATTTGCAAATGTTTCACGTTAGGCTTTTCGCCCATAAATATTTCATAGGATTTTTTATAGTCACATATAATAGCAATCATCTTACTTTTTAAGTATACTACTATTTGTAGAACCTATGGCCCGTATCGTAAATTCAATCGGCATCTACGTAGATCTGTAGCTAACCTATTGCACCTGTTTAATTTGTGTACAAATAGTGGGCATGACTAAATTCAACTCTTTTGTATATATTGAATCATACATGCCTTTGCTACTGTAATCTTTTTCATTATCACAATTTTATTTTTCAATCTTTTATCAAAGTGATTGTTAACTCAACTGAAATAATTGATTAAACAATCAGTGGTTTCTGAGTTTCGTTTAATACATTAAATTTTTACACATTTGTTATTCTCATCAATAAAAGTTTAAAAATAGCTTTCTTCTTTGCACCATGTTGCTCTGCGTTTTCTGTTTAAAAAAACATGTATAACTTTTATAACTTCTTCCGGCTTTGTTCTTCGATTCTCAAATTGTTTATCTTCCATTTTGGTATCAATAAAATTCGTACATTTCATCTAAATATTTTCTAGTTCCTATGGCATCCCATCGATTATTTTATTTGTATTTATGCCTTAGATGTCATAGTCTTCACCCCAAGGTATCCAGGCAGCCACGTTTGCTGGAACTTTAGTCAAGAAAGCGTTTAGTGCAGTGGTCCTTTTTAGGGCCATCAGACATCAAACTACGTTGCTAACAAATATATTAGAACCTAAGAAAATTGACAAGAAACGGCCAATAGGGCTCACAAAAGTATCAACCATACCTACAGTCGCACGAGGGTAATTTGGAACGGAAACTTTAAATGCTTTAAATGTATGGAATTTTAGGCATCAAGAAACTGACGCAAAACATTTATCAAGATTGAAATAGCAGCGTCAAAATTGACAAATGAAGAATCCATTAAGTGAGAGATTTGATTTTCATTATTACCCTGACAGTAATCACTTACCTCTTCCAGATTTTTGAATAGGTAGAATAAAATGTATTTATATTCATAGTGGCGATAAAAAATGAAGAATAAGCTCCAGGACTTCGTTGCTCTGGTAATGAGGTTGTGAGATTGGAAAAAATAGTTTTCTTGTTACATACTTTTTTGTCTGTTTCAAGTCCTTACAGTTTCAACAAATACCTATTTTCATTAATTATAACGTGAAAAAGTGCAAATCAACGTCCCTTTAGGGCAAAAAATTATGTTACGGTGCGTCGTAAGGAACGGATGGTACTTTTCATCATTATTATATTTTTTACCGTTACAACTTATTTTTTAATTAAATATACTGTATGGATCCTGAACAACAATATTTTTAATTAGAAGAATTTTTTCAGACAAGTGGCAAGAATAGATGTAAGATTTTTAATTCAAAACGTTTCATATTACGTGTAAACACACTATGGTGTTCCGTTTAGTGAGTCTTGGGCAAATCCGACACGAGAGGAGGGGGTGCTAGTGAACTATAAAAAAGATCAAGTGGTAGTCGGAAAAAGCAATGTCTGAAAAATACGATGGGTGGTGTATGTCATCCCAATTAAGTACTTGCAAAGTTTTCTGATGATTTTAGCAACATAAGGCCGATGGTTTTTGTGCTGAAAACTCACTTTCTCATGTCTTCTTTCATTTTGGGGTCGTTTAAGCTTTAATGGTCAGCTAACTTGCATTAATTATTATTTTTAACAATTTGTAATGATGGTTTCACAAGGATGGAATAACTCATCAGAAATCATTCCGCGCCAACCCCACTAGATTCACGACATCAGCTTCTTGCTATGAATATTCGATTTGTACATTAAAGTTAACGAGTGGTCCAGCTAACCCTATGATATCCTGCACTTTGAGTTATTGTAGTAGATCGACTTTTTATCCACAGTCACAATTCGATGCAAAAAAATGCAACAAAATACTGTTTTGTTGGCACATCATTTGACATGTTTTAAACACAAAAAATGCTGGTTTAATGGCTTGGTAAAAGACAGAGCCAACTCAAAAAATTCATGATAAAGGAGTCAACTTCAATTTGATTTGAAAAGGTATTCAATTCAGATTTGACTTGTAAAGGCAGTCAAATTAGATTCAGGTTGAATCGGCTATTAAGAAGTCAGTTTTTTTATCAAGTACTGTCATGGCGGCACTGACATTTACAATATAGGTATACCTATCAAAAGGAACGTAGATTTATTGATTATCCAATATTTCAGAAAAAAAGTTAATGTTCATTTAATAGAGTGCACTATACTTATTAAATTATCATTTACAAGTCTTCTACGGTCATAGAAGGAAAATAAAACGCTGCGTAAATATGGCTGTGACGTTGTGTACGAAAGTACGTATGTACGAATACTTGGCAGATAATAGGATTTTTATGCATGACATTATCAAACTACGTCTATGAATTGAAACAATTCGTTGATTAAACATTAATCAAAGAATTATGTCGTTTGTTGAACATGTCGTTCTGCTCTCAGTTGTTTCCATGATGACTTGAGGGTCAGTGCCTAAGCACACGATCAGTAAGAGCTAATAAATTAGGAGTACGAATGAAAACTCCAAAAAATCAGGTGTTAGTTCGAGTAACGTTTCGTTGGTCTTAACGCCAACCTCATCAGACTCAGTCTATATCATTAGTCAAAGAATACAACTAAAAAATTCAATTAAATACTGTGAAAAAAAATTTCAGAGATGTACCAGAGTGGTGTCATCTTACAAGAAAATGACGTCGCATTGGCATAGATTATTATCTTTCACAGAAGAAAGAAAATTCAAGATTACAATAACTGTTTAAATTCATGAAAAAATTTCATTTGTAGTTTTAATAAGTTTCTTATTTAACATTAGGTTTGAAAATTAAAAAAAAGTATTAAGTTTTTTAAACAACACTTGAAACAAATTATATTTTAGTAATTAGTGAATCACGCAATTAAATAAAAATAGTACGCTACATTATAACATAAATTGTGTTTCTGAATCATTCAATGATGAAATATCTGTTCATTCACATAGGTATATCAATATTATAGATGTCAGAGCAGCCATGACAAAATTTGATAAAAAAAACTTACTCTCAAGTTAGCTACTTTTTTAACCCGAACCTGAGTTGACTGCCTTTTCAAGCCAAATCTAAATTGACTGCTTTTTTTGATATAAATTGAATTTGACTCCTTCCACTTGTTTTTTAAGTTGGCTCTATCTGTTACGAAATCGTCGAAATGCTTCTACTCCTCCAAAATAACATATACTGTTTATAAGAGAAAAATTATGATGCTTTTATGTTAATACAGTTAAAAGATGACCCAATACAGTTTAATAAGCTATCGAGCTACAACATCTTTTGTGAATCTCCAACAATTAGTTTGTACACTTAATATAAGCATATTTTCATTTAAAAAAAATAATACATTACGTCACTGGGGTGTGATTGCTTTACTTTTGCACTCAAGTCTCATGTATTATTTTTTTCTCGAGGGTGCGAAGTTCCAAAGGGCAACTATCCATCTTGACTCGAAATGCTTCTGTAGATAATTATATGTTCTATATTTTTCAACTATTGATTTCAAGTAAGAATTACCCAATACACATTTTATTGTAACCTTTATACTTACAATATCACTCATTTTTTAAAGATATATTTGTACATATATTCATGTGGCTGTATGTTTTAGTGGATAGGTCCAGAAGGATCTGACTGTGGAATCGTCAATGTAAACATTGGAACCAGTGGAGCTGAAATAGGTGGTGCATTTGGAGGAGAAAAATCAACAGGAGGAGGACGTGAAAGTGGTAGTGATGCATGGAAACAGTACATGAGAAGATCAACAGTAACAATTAATTATGGAAAAGATTTGTCATTGGCACAAGGGATAAAATTTGAATGACACCTATTTATTGACTAAAAATCTTATAAAATCAACTGCTATATCAACACTTTTTTTTTTATGAAACTTATAAGTAGAAGGTACATCAAATCGTAATTCTGCTATAACTTGACTTTTCAAACCAAATTGCTGAGCTTTTTGAAGAATATGATTTCGAGTACTTGTCTTATGAAGTGAATATATCACTTTACACGATATTTTTGAAGCAACATCTAAAAATTGTATGTCCATCCCATGATTGTGCTTGGTACCAAACGGTGGATTCATTAGAACAGTGTGGAAGAAATTTTCATAATGTCCTGAAAAATAATAAAATTAACATCCTAATTTTCTTAAAACAAAAAATATTTGAGAATTAAAAAATGCAATATTTATTTTTGCGACTTTCTTATGGACTATATGTTAAAGATGCAAACAACTTTATTTAACATTAGTGCTATAACAATTTAAAAAATTTTTAAGATTATTTAACAGTGTGCTAAAGAATTAAACGTACTATGACCAATTTATATTTATTGGGCAAGACTAGATGCAAACCTTTACAAAAGAAATGTCACTATTAATTTTTTTATCTGTATATTATATCAGAACAAATTCTGGCATAACTCAGACTTCAAGAAGAGTACTCTTTAATATGAAATTTAAAGCCAACAATTCTGTGCGACGTACCCAAGATAATAGTTAAAAAATGTAGGGAGAAAACTTATAAGCGAAATTGTCAAGAAAACAAATTATATTAAGACTTGTCGTACTTCTTACTTAAACAGTTATACCCAACTACCGTCCAGAAAAAAGTCGTTACATACGGTTTATTCATAACTGAGAAAATCGTTTAAAACTAATTGTATTTAAAATGTACTAAAAGTAGAACATTTTAAAAGCAGAAAAAATAATTCTAGGGTAAATACGACACGATCTTTCCACTTTATCACAAAAAATCTATTTTCCAATGAAAAACTTCAAAAACTGCATTTACACCTTCTGCTTGGAGTATTTTCCTTGAAAAATATGGCGTTTAGTGGACTTGATAAGAATAGATGCAAGTATAAAGCATAAACATTATTAGGTACAATTATACTTTGCTAATCTCATGTGAGATTCGTGACGCCATCGTGACTAATTTTTACTCCTTGTTATGAATAAATCCATTAAAAGAAAAATATACGAAATCATAATTCAACACACTTATTACTTATTCATAATTCAGCGATACCTTACTTTTTTAACAAAAGTATATTTTTTTTTTTAATCGTAAAATACATAAAATTAAATACGTTAAGTACTTAGTAAAAAAATTTGTAATATTTAGTTTTGCGCAGTAAATACAAATTAATTCATAAAAATAACAATAGTATTATTAAATGTAGTAGTAAGTTTGATAATATTATACATTAACACTAAATTAGTTGACAGGCAAAGGAGAACGAAAAAAAAAAAAAAATGTGCATATGAATGAAGGGTTTCATATTTACTAGAGAAATCATTACGCGTCTACGCCAGTATACGCACCTCTCTCAACCACGTCCAAAGAACCTTTGATCTCGCAGACCAGTTACACTCACTACCACCCCTCCACGTACCTATATCTCTCCGCTCTATCCCCTCCTGTTCCCCTCCGTTCGCGCAGTGTTTCAATAGCTGTCACGCTCCTATACCATCGTCGGTGGCTTTTTCTACTGGCGTAGCAGTTACAGAATTGGTTCACAGATTATAATAATCGCATGATAATTTTAACTTCTAATAACGGATAACACGCTACACATGCACAGTAAGCATGGTGTTTATTAATAATTACAAGTAGTGCTAAGCCTCATAGTACTCTTTCGTATTGCATCCACGTATATCGCCTAGGTAGAGCGACTTTTCTATAGTGCCGTCTTGGGCGTATCACTCAAGTTGTAACTCGACGACGCAAAACGCTCTTAGAGCTTGTCGGCCCCAGACCTACCACACTGCACGTAGGCCTGAGCACGCTAGTGACCTTTAGCTCGGGAGCAAACTCCAGTACGTCCATGAAACTTAGTGGGGCTTGACGGCCACAGGGATTCGTCCCTGTGCTATAGTGAGACCCGCTCTAGGGCGTCCTTGGCACTTTACATTACCATTATACTCAATTAGTCGTGTTTCTGACTCTACTTGGGCGATCTTTACAACTGACAAATTTTGTACTAATATTTTAATAATCTGGGCACACTTAAAGCCACACTCGCACCCTTCGTCGTCTACAAAATGCTGTGATTTCAGCAGTCATTGTACGGTTACGTCAGCAAAACAATTTATTCCAGTCCAAGCTTTCGCTTAGTAACTTGGGACTCACGCTGGGCACTAACGTTGGACACGGGGCTTAACGATACTTAAATTAAGCCATAGGGTATTTGCAAACGAAAACAACTGTACTCGGGTGACGGAAATCGAGATGAAACGACTCAAAGTGGCTGTTATGCAGTATTCCGATGCACTCACTCACAGCACGATTAAGGTTTATCAATACTACTCACAAGTCTACTCATAGTCAGAGTGGAGTATTAAATGATGTTCCGTTAGCGATCAAGACACTACTAGTACTGTTAAGAGTAAAGGTATCGATTCTAGAGAGAATGTAAAAGTGGCCGACTGTATTTTTAATTGCGACTCGTCTTGAATCTACCCATGCGTTGATTGAATTACTTTACAGTCTTCCGTGGGTAAAACTACTGTAGCAAGTACTGAAGTGCGCGTTAGATTCCATGCCAAAGCCTACAAATGGATAAAAAATCAAAACAACTAAAAAGACATTAAACATTCACTTTCATTTCGAAAAAAAATGCTTATACATGCGGCAAACCAGCACAAAAATGGCCGAAATCAAAATTTAAATACGCTCGTGAAGGACCGTCTGGTAACAAAGGAACACTCTAGCTACTCACTCGACCGTCCAAAGATAAAAATAAACTATTTCCTCATCTTCTGGTAAACTAGTAGGTAGCAAAGGCGGACTCTAACTACTTAGTCTACCGTTCGAAGGGATAACATATACTGCCCAAAAATCCAATATGACTAAGAAGTATAGAAGCAATATTGATACATTTTTTATTGTATCAATTGGCGCATATTTAGATAGTGGCATCTTTATGTAAGTGCTCTTAAAGCTATCCATGCCCTTTTTTGATCGTAAATATACTAAAGATTGATAGTAAAAGTTCATAAATTTTCCTAAGAAATGATCACATACGCACCAGGGGGTTGTGTGTTCGATTCGCACTCAGGGAGGATATATTTTTTTTTTTTTGTAATTAATTCTGAATAAAGTTTGTGAATTTTAACTATCGATCTTTAGTATATTAAGTATCATAAAAGGGCATGGATTGTTTTTAAAAGTGCTCACATAGAAGTGCCACAATCTACATATGCGCCACCTGATACAATGATAAATGTACCAATATTGCTTGTACACCTTTTAGAGTCTTATTGGATTTGTGATTTATCAACAACCATTAAATTCATTTTCTAACAATACACATATGGTGGCCTATTCTCAGAGCCTGCGAACCTTTTTATATGAAAACGTGGACCCCAGTCACGCACTGGCTCGAAAATGACGCAGAAAAGGTGAGAAAACATCTTTAAAAAATGATAAAGGCCAAAAATCTAGTAAGCTGAAGCAGCTCTAGTTTAGCCACTTAAAAATTGGAAAATCCCACATCAGGCTTGCTCTCTTAAATGCGTCAAAAGAAAGAAAGGTAATTCACTTATTCCTGGCCTTCTCTTCATTTTTACATCTCAATACAACAGGATCTCTTTAAAACTAGAAGTAGTAGTAATAGTAGTAGTAGTAATAGTAGTAGCAGTAGTAGTAGCAGTTTTTTTTTGTGGAGGGAGAGAAAATTCATTAAGGCACACCGCAAAGACAGCGGAAGTGTTAGAATCAGTAAATTTTTTTTACAAGACCACCCATACCCACTAAAGAACCCCCCCCCCCCTCAATGCCGCGTGGCTCTTGATCCATCACGGAACCACGTTAGCATTACTTAAGGGTGAAGCCACCAGGAAGACCATCGCATCTCACAGCATTTACTAGCTAAGTCACCACCATTTGCTAAAGATGCTAATCCTCTCGAGTCCTAAGAAGAACTCGAAGTCCCTAAAAATCAGAACCCTCTCTAGCGCTCCATAGTAGGCCACTTATCTAGCAAGCACCACCATGAGCTTGATGCTTTCCCTTGCTGATAGGTAAAAAATACCCAGCGCAGCGTAAGTCCACATTAGCCTGCCTTTTAACTAAAGGCCCTTTTGCCTTATTTTCGTCCGGCTTGGGCCTTACTCCTAGCCTCTTCTAGGGCTCCTCTGAATAAAAGGCAGCTCCCACTGCCTGCTTTGTGCTTGTTGTCCGTTATGGGGCACAGAAAGCACTAAACTGGGCCTGGACACTCTTTCTTCCAGTGGTTTGAGCTTTCACACCCGAAGCAAACCTCAGATCTGTTTTCGTTCTTACAGTTGCCTGAGAAGTTTCCATATCCAAGGCATTTGTAACATCTTGTTACTTTAATTCTTCTTCAAATTCGGCAGCTTACAAAGCCAACTCGTAACCTGCCTTTCTTTTCTACTTGTCTGGCAGATGCTTCGTCCACCTTTATTAAAGCCAGCCTCTGTCCTCTGGCATTTGGCTTTAAGAGAGCTCCTGGCTCTAATGTCCAAAAGTCCTAGCGGAAGCTTCTTTGACCTCAACTTCCTCTACAATAGCATCTAGGTCTCGGACCTCTAGTGTCACTTTTCTGTTGCTCATTTCAACAGTACCCTGTCCAGCTACCGACTTTTCAATTTGCTGTGAGAATGCAGTAGCATTCTCTACACCTTTGGCCTTAGTAAGAATGTATCTTTTTTTTGTAGTGACAACACTTTGGACTGCCACGTTAGCCTTATCAGGGTCAAAGTTCGCCTTCATCGTTGTCTTCAGCACCGTTGCAAAGGTCTGTCCTTCAGCCATCTTAACTACTACTGTTGTTGTGGCGTCCACTTTTTTCTTCTGGCTTGTTTTGTCATTTAGGAAAATTTCTTCTTGTTTGCCACGACCTGTTTTCTTTTTCTATGAAGACATAGTCTGCTGGCGTTTCTCAGGGTGTTCGATAGGCTCCTGTTTCTTTTACTTCGTTCTAATTCTTTTAGGGCAGTATTCAGGATTTTTTTCTGTATATGCCGTCAAAAATGATCTTGCCTTTGTTCCCTCCACTGCAGGGATTTAAATGACGACTTCCAAGCGTTTGAATACACTTTTTCTTCATAAAAAAAAACTTTTTTTAGCACCTCTTTCTCTTAACGATGT